TCGTAGAAATTAATTAACGAAAAAAGAAAAGGAAACTAAAAAGGGAAAGTGTGAAAATATCTCGCTAACGAACCGGCTTTAACATCGATTTATATATATTTCCTTGTATTAATTGTTCGCCGTTAAACAAGATATCGTTTCATGCAAGATGAATGGTCTTCAAGTGGCGACGAGTAGATTTCATCGACTTCCAATTAAAACTCCAAGCTCGCGTGTGTTCCCCGATTCTTTATTTCATATGTAGAAGTTTCGACGAAATATTCACTTTATTTCATTAGATTTGACTGTAACTTAAAAAGATATATATCGTGGCCAAACATTGCAAATATTGTAATTTAGAAGAATACTGATGATTCGTACTTTGATTGAGAAATGTAACTTCTCTGAACCAAAAAAATTTCAAATGTTCTATTCGAAAAGTCTTGGAACAACAAGACCATATTTGTTTAAAAGCTGCAAGAATTAAATAACACTCTTCACGGTAAAGAATCTGTGATGAAAATGTATATAAAATTTTATTAGAAGTACAATTAAAATAAAACGTATTCTAAGACGTATTCGACTGGCAAACTGATTGATGTTCGTGCAATCTTGAGAGATTTAAAGATACTATAAAAATCCATAAAATGCGCATTATATACACAAAAATATCAGTGTGCTTGTATTTACTAGACAAAATGTTTATTCTATTTCCATTACAAGGATAAAATTGCACAAAGATCCGCAGATCATAGTAACAAACGTTATATGAAGAGTTCAGAAGTTAATCGATGCAAGTTATTTTACATAAAAAATTTTAATGCCTGCTGGCACCGTACAAATGTATGTACTTTCCTTGTCAAAATTTTCAGTCAATAGTACATAGTTTACCTACGAAATCGTTCCATCAGTTTTATTTTGATGATAAGACTGGCATTTGCACGGCGCAAGTCGTTTTTAATGAGAAGAGTGACTCTTACATCGATTGGCTTCTGAGCCATGTAATACATATATATGTGTATATATATATATATATATATATATCCTTTCGATGCTCTTCTTGAACGTAGTCCAACGTTTATCAAAGAATCCAATTAACGGAATGCCTTCTACCTTCTCGACGTTTTATTTCGCGTCCATCGCGCCGCCGCTGGTGCCAGCAAACCACGAAGAACCATCGAAAAAAAAATTTCTCGTCCCCTTTTTACTCGCGAAACTTCCGCCGATCGGGAAATCGACTTTCGATCTGCCAAATTACTCGCGATTCCTCGCAGAACGCGGGAAAACGTTCGTCGCAGTGCTCGATTTCCTAGCCATTTTCTCGTAGATTATATCACTTACATGGCTCGAGAGCATCTTCCTCTCGACGTATAGGCGTGTTTCTAGAAGAAAAACGAATTCAAGGCATCTTTTATGATAACCGAGCTATGCTACGTGCTATGGAATCTGTAAGTTTGATTCTGAGGACGAGATGTTTCAAATTGAATTAATATTTTTTTTTTTTTTTTTTTTTTTTTTGCTTGAAATGCAACTGAGAAAGAATATCGAGACAGAGAAAAAGTGAGAGAGTTATATTTGATTAAAGTAATATGTGAAGTGTTTTCTACGACAGAAATTTCTGAAGGAAAGAAAAAATTAAAATACTGTGACAATGCAAAACACGAACGAAAGTTTTCTACGGAAACTTAAATCGGAACTGTAGGAAATTGTCAGAATATTTAAATTAAATAGAAAGAGACATTAAACTTTCTTTCAAATTTCCTCCTATTGCTTTCCATCCTAGATAAAACGAATGCATTTTACTTGAAATCTGCGGAGCAATCCTGAGTGAAGTTGTCTAAGTGAGTCACGCAGTTGTCTAACGTTAAAATGCTTCACTTTATCATTGAGAGTGACGTTTCCCTAATCGATCAAAGAACTTCGCAGTTTCTTTTTTTAACTAGGAAAACCTTTAGGAAAGACTTGTATTAAAGCCTACATTAATTTTCCTTGAAATATTTCAAAGTTACTAAATTCCTTTGTGCCTTTTCTTTCTTCATTAACCAACTTTTATTGGTCAATTTTTGTCATACATAAGTTCATTTACACCTATCATCATACACAACTATTATCATCGGTAAATTTTTAATTTTTATCAAACTGTAACTTCAAGATATATCTTCAACTTTCTCAAATAATCCTAATCTTCACTATCCTTTTATTACTTACAATTCTGTGGATGTACATTTACCAGCCAATATCTTTCCTCAAAATGGTTAAAGGTAATTTTCCACATTCCAATTACAATTTATATCTTTGTTAATTTATATTTTTACTAATTCATATCATTACTAATTTATCAATTTACATCTTTACTAATTTATTAACTAATCTATTAACT